AAAAAAAAAAAAAAAAAAAAAAAAAAAAAAAAAAAAAAAAAAAAAAAAAAAAAAAAAAAAAAAAAAAAAAAAAAAAAAAAAAAAAAATCAGTTTTGACCGTTAAAAAGTTATCCAAGAATATATAAAATCTAAAATTTATGACACAATTGATATCTAAATTGAACCATCAAGCTTTCCAACGAAAGAAAACTCATTCCTTGAGTTCTAAGAACTTGAGGGTGATCACTTGAAGAACTCTGCCAATTTAGGCCACACTCAGCTTCAAATTAAAGGGAGTTTGCATGCTTGAATCTCCAAGTTTGATCAAGAAAGAAAAGTTTAAATTATGCCATTAGTACAATGTACATCTCAAAAGTTCTAAAAGATCAACACCTTCACAGTTACCTTATCTTAAGACTCCACAGCACTTTCTTGTGACATCAAACAAATCAAACAAGGTTATTATGTTCTTAAAAATCCATTAGTATTGAAGTAGAAGCTGAAGATGAAAAGAATGCTAAAATTTACTTTCTTTATTTTCACACAAACAGTCAACCCAAAGGCGATAGTAGACAACTAAAGAAAGATTCAATTTATCAAATCTCTACTCTTCCCATTTAAAGGTTCTAAGTTTCCACTCAAACCATTATCCCAAAAATATTTGACTCATTTTCATCACTAGAAACTGAGAAAAGACAAGTTGGTTTCAATCTCTACATCCAACCATGACAAAAGCAATTTTCCATATCGTAATTTGAAATTCTGTATCTGTTTGATACCTCTGTATCTGCTTCATCCTTGGTAGCAAAAGCAGTATGTCCTTCCTGCCAAAGGAACTCACGACTCCTGCAGTCAGTAGTTCATAAAAATTGGTCATTTTCTCAAAATGGTTACAAATAATTTTAAAACAATGAAGTTCTTGAAAAATCCTTAGAAGGTTCAAGAATACTATAGTGACTTATGCAAATATGACACATTTAGTTAAGAACATTGAATAAAATTATTTAATCAAGAACATTGAACAAAGTTATTTAATCAAGAACATTGAATAAATTATATAATCAAGAACATTAAACAAAATTATTTGAGCAAGAACATTGAACAAAATTATTTAATCAAGAACATTAAACAAAATGATAAAACATCTAACTGTTAACAGGTCCAAAGTAGTCCATCAACATAGTGAAAGGGAAAGAAACGAAAAAAAAAAACACACGGAAGAGTACTTGCCTAATAAATGGTGTGGGATGGCTGAACTCCCATCTCACAACATTGCACCACTGGTTAAGTTTCAAAGGCAAGTCACGGTGACCCCTGATCCACTTAGAATAGTATGGATACATCACAGTCTCACTTGTAGGTCGAATTGCAATAGGCACTTCCAAGTCAGACTCCCCAGATTTTGTCACCCATGCAACCTTCAAATGGATGCCAAATACCAATTTGTCAGCACTAAACCAAGTTCACTTTATCAGCTTAAAAATTGAAAATGAACAAACAGAAAATGAGGAATGGAAAGGTAATAAGCGTTTCAAATTCAGACGGAGAAGTTTCTCTATTATTGCATATATTAATATTAAAACGTCACCTCAGGAGCAAAACCTTCTATATGATCTTTCTCTCTTTGTAAGACACCGGGAGACACAAAAAGTGGAAAATAGCAGTTCTTGATTTTCATTTTCTTAATTTCTGCATCAAAAAATACCTGCACCGATGACAAATAAAATCCTCAAACTTCAAAGCGAGAATAGATTGTAAAATTGATTATAGAAAGAAAAGCATCCTTACTTGCATAGTCTCCCAGATAGACATAGCCCACGGCCTCAGAATATAGCAGCCAGAGATATCATAATATTCAATCATTTCTCCACTGACAACCACCTAGACAAACTAGAAAACGAATTATTCAAGCCACTGAAAACAGCCTGTTCGTAATATTACTGGGGAGCTTGCTACAAAACAAAAATTTTGAAATCTTCATTTCCTTTTTTGTTCATTTAACATAATATATGATTCCACTAATCGACAACATTTTACAACAGAAAAAAATAAAAAAGTGGCATAGAAGAACTAGAAACAAGACCTTATGAACCAAAATAGAACATTTCTCTCCTAAGTTAAAGGAAAGTGTTCGAGCATTGTCAAGTTAAAGTGTGATGAAAACAATCAGACAAATAACTTTACCCAACACAAAGTCACTTTGTAATGAAGAAAACAAAAATCAAGCGAGAAACAGCACCTCAGAATACCACTCTCCAAAGTTATCATCCTTCTTATTAGTGAGACCTAAACCAGTCTCTTTCTTCACCTCCTTCTTTTTACCGCCTGCCCAGTTAGCAAGGAAGAACTATTAAACACAAGCCAAACAAGGGAATACGAAGCAATTGCACAAACAACTACCGTACTAAAGGAACAATATTTACCAGCTTTTGGAGTTTTAGCAGAGCTACCAGGCTTAGGACCAGCCATGCTTAGAGTTTTTAACTTCTGCAGGAGTATCATCGTAAGAAATTCAATTGAGGACAAAGAAATGCAATAAAAAAAATAATCAAGTAGGCATTGGGAGAATTTTTAACAATATATCATGTAAAAACGAGAAGAACGCAAAAAGGAATCTAAAGTCAACCCAACGATAATTGAATTGGATTGAGTCTAGTTGTCAAATTTCCCCACATATGCCCCAGAATACACAAGGAAACATAAATCATCAAGTCATACAAACCCACCCCGGCCAGGAATAAAAGAACAAAGAGTAGCTAATTAACATGGCAGAATTCGTGGAGTCAGGACTAGATCTGAATAGCTAAGGATTTCTATAAAAAAAGACAACAATATTGAGTTTCCAAATCCTTCCCAGCAACAAACAGCAAAAACGGAGAAAAGATAAGAAAATTAAAACAAAAAATATATATATATCTATCCTTGTCATGGTTCAGATTGAGAAATTTGAAATAAACAAAGCGAGGAGCATAAAAGAGTTAATCAAGAAGCTCAACATACTTCAGACCCACAAAATGTGAGCGTATGTGAGTCACAGAGACAGAGACAGAGAGAAGAGGGACTAAGCAATTGAAGTATCAAGAAAGGTACAACGAAGTTTACAGTGAATCGAGCTCTGCGATTTCGACGAACACCGAACGACCTCGCGGCGGCGATGCGCAAATGCGAGGAGGCGCGGATAGTGATGAACTACAAGGAGAAGTTTGAGGGTTCAGCACAGAACAGGACGGGGATGGATTGATTTCTCAAATTAGCTTTTTAGAAAGAAAAAAAAAAGGGAATAAAAAAAAAGGCATTGACTGCAACTTGGGCTTTAAGATTTGGGCTTTAGGCTTTGGGCTTTAGGCTTTGGGCTTTGGTCTTTGAACTGGGCCATTTAGGTGGGCTTGGTCAAATAACGATTAATTTTTAAAATTTTAATTCTTTTTTTTTTTAACTTAAAAATGCGTATTAAATATTTAATTTGGTGTCTAATAAATTTTGAAATTTTAAAAATTCATAAATTTAATATATAAAAAATTAAAGCTATATGTGTAAGATTCTAAAGTTTAATTTTTGTGTTTGAAATTATAAAAAAATTGTAAAGCTCAAAGACTTATTAAGTCCAATGAGAATAAAGAGGATGCTGACTTGTTTAATATTTTATAAGAGGATTAGCTCGTTGTCACAACTTCCCTCGGCTCAAGTCTTTTTGGTCTCGAGAATGGTCACAATAAAATAAGAAGCAAAATTATATTGTTCGGGAGGGCATGACCCTAATAGATAATCTCACGTCACATGTCGAACATGTCTACGAGGAGTGACCTCATACATGAGTTAATATCATATATGACATGAACCTCATGTGTGCTCGCATCGTATTGGACATGAACCTAGTTGAATCATATCTCATACCAATGAAAATGTATTCCTTGTTATAAACCCATGATCATTCCTTAAATTAGTCAATGTGAGCCCCTCCCAACAATTCTCAACAATCCTCTCCTAGACAAATTACATAGAACCTCCTGTGAGGCCTACAGGTTGAGAACAACATCCTTATGCACTCATTCCACATGTTAGGTATAGCTGCACTCATGTATTCAGCCATTCCACATGTTAGGTATAGCTGCACTCATGTATTCAGCTTAGCAGCTCCATTTAGTGCAGTGCTATGCATGGTTCTATTCAGTGCAGTGCTATGCATGGTTCCTGGGTAACTGCTAGTTTGAGAGAAATCCACCAGCTCCTTATTCATATGGAAATCCACCAGCTCCTTATTCATATTCAGTGTGGAAATCCACCAGCTCCTTATTCATATTCAGTGTGGAAATCCACCAGCTCATATGGAAATCCACCAGCTCCTTATTCATATTCAGTGTGCAGTGTGGAAATCCACCAGCTCCCTGCTCCCTATTCATATTCAGCTCCCTACATGGTTCCTGAGCTCCCTATTCATATTCATTGTTCATATTCATTGCAGTGCTATGCATAGTACTTGGGTAACTGCTAGTTTGACCCGGGAAACCACGTAGACCACAACTGCCGAGAAACCACGTAGAGGGAAACCACGTAGAATGAATCTGCTATGCATGGTTATTTTGGCCAATTGATCTCCCAATATGCTAGTTTCAACAACTCTCTTTACACTTTTTCCTAGTTGTTTGACCTGTAGTAGATATATGGTTCACCGCTTTAGATATTAGCACTGTGACTTTCAAATGAAGTACACTATTTTTAGACACATAGTTTTGACATTTAATAGATTATGATGTTTGGTTTTTCATAGATTTATTATTATTTGTATGATGGCTATTATTAATATTATTAAAAAAAAAAAAAAAAAAAGTGAAGACGATATAATAAAAATGGTATATTTATATATATAACAAATAACGAAATCAAACCACAATGCACAGACACAGGGCCCCAAACAAATTCCCAAGAATGGAATCAAATCGAATGGAATCAAATCACGACAAGTTGTTCTCAGTTCTTCAATCCCACGAAGAACGGCCCACCTGTCCCCTGAAGCCAAGTATTTCCCTGAAGGAACGGCCCAGCAGTGAACTGCATGGCTTCGTTCCTTCCTATCACTCTCACGCCCTTCCATTTCACTCTCCTGTTCGTCATCGCTCCAGGTCCTCTGTTTCCATACTCCAAATACAAGCAAGTGTCCAATGCGAAATTTCCAGCCCACGGCATGTATCCCTCCGGCTGAATCAAATCCCCCAATGTCGACTCCATGATCACCGTTCTTGCGTATTGCTTCCATGGCCTACCCAAGAATGTCGGGATCTTGAACCTATCCGCGAACAGCTTCTGCTCTGGCACGATCCTGCAGTTGTGGATCACCAGACCCGTGTTCTGGCGATTGTCCGCACGTCCGTTGGCGGTCACTGTGTTCTTTTGGTTGTCCATCGGTCGCCGGACGATGATCAACGAGTTTTGGATTATGGTGTTCGAATCGCCGAAGATGAAGTCCACGGTGCCAGAGATCACGCAGTTCCTGTAGAATTGACGGTTGGCTTGAACGTACAGGGTGTCTTGGTGCCCGTCCATTCTGCAGTTGAAGAACGCGGACTTGTCGGATTGGACTCTTAGGGCTACGGCCTGGTGGCCTTCGGGGCCGGCTGTGTTGCTGAATCCCATGGATTTGCAGAGGAATCCCTTTCCTATGGCCGCTGCGAGGTAATTTTACGGTTCAATTTGTTAGTTTCTCAACAATCTAGAGATTTAGGGTTTTAGGGATTTAGCGATTTGGGGATTTAGGGTTTCTCGAATTACTTACAGAAGGAGGCACTGTCTTGGGTGGTAACGCCATCGCGGTTGCTCTTACGGCCAGTGACAATAGTTGATCTAGGGCCATCTCCATACATGAAAATGTTCTCCATGTTTTTAGTCACAATGATGTACTCATCATACACCCCTGCTTTCACATAGATCACATATCTTCCGGTTAGAACCTTTGGGTATGCAGCCAATGCAGCGGCAATGGTCTTGAACTGCCCACTACCATCCTTAGCAACCACGGCGTTGGGCTTCACTCGCCCGGCGCCTCCTCTAGCTGCCAGCAGCTTCCTGTCTTCCCCCACCAACCATGTCGGGAACCCATCGCTTCCTACTTCTGTCGTCCCAAGAAGCCTACGCCCACTTGGTTGAACCTTCAATTGCAAGCCAAGCTTCTCCAATATCCCCACAACTTCATCGAGGATAGCAAGAGCATTGCTGGTAAGCTTGCCAGCAGAATCAAGCTCGCCTTGCATCTTCTGTCTGAGATCGGGATCAGTTTCCTCCAGCCCATCGAGACAAGATTGCTGAAAAGAAATGACAGCGCTGAGCCATGTCTTAACATCACCGACACGGTCTGCATCAGTGTGCATATCAGGGTCCCCAACAGTGGACTGAGATGCATGAAGCGAGTCAATAGCAGACTGCAATAAGTCCTTGCAATCATCAACAGACATTTGGATGGTGGTATTATCAGCAGCCTCCACTCGAAGGGTATCTGTTAAATTCAAGCCTTTTGTAATCTCTTCAATAGTGGCAACAATGGCCGCTTTAAGATATTGTTTAGGATCATCAGAAGTGGAATTTTGTGCAGTTGTGGAAAGAGTAGATTGGCATTCCTTTGGATAATCAGTTCCCGAACAAATGCCTGCGACTGCCTTCATCTTTGGGGACAGAGTCTGCATCTCAGCTGCCGTGTCATTTCTCTTGTTAACGACTGCAACGACGGCAAGAGCTACACCGACGACGAGAATAAAGGATACACCCGAAACGACCACCTTCCCGATCATGTTATTAAGTTGTTTGTTGTCACCTCCTGTTTATACAGAAAGGGTTTCTTCTGCAAATGGGTGATCAAAACCCAGATTGAATTAAGCTCTTTTCCACCAGAAAGATGGGAAAGAGATAAATGGTGGGTTTTGAGCAGAAAGATTTGTGGTTTTTTTTCGTTTTTTTTGGGGGGGTTGAGTAATAGTGGATGGAGGAGGTGATGAGGAAATGGTTGGTATGGGGAAGATTATGTAGCGATGAACTGCTTAAAATAGGGGCTGTTTTTTAGGATTAGATGTCCAAATTGTTTATTTTTAGTGTTTTTGACTGAGATACATGTCGAGAATTTTGGTGACTTTGATCTTAAACATACCACAATTTAACAATTTCTGTTGTTATTTATTATTATTATTATTACTGACGTATGAATGATCTATCCTAATTAATATTCTTAATCTTTTTTAAATACTTCAAAAATACTATTTTTTAAAAAAATAAAAAATATGTATTTCCAATTAGTTTATGTTTAAAAATTATTACGAGAGAATAAAGTTAATTTTTTTTTAATTTAAGTTTAAAGATATTAATGTTTTAAGGTATTTTTAAAAAGTATTTTTTTTAAAGAATTTAAGTATTAATAAAAATTTGAAAGTAGATATTTTTTAAACTTTTAAAAAGTTGGAGTAATTCTATATATTTTAATTAACTTAACCTAATTTTTACGAGTAACATAAAAGCATTAAATTACAAAGATAGAGAAAGACCTCACGGTTGTAAAATTCGTATATACGATAAGATGGATAAGTATTTCATTGTAGTTTGTTTTGGTTCGACTATATACATACATACTTACGAGTTACGAGTCACCTCATTTTCACTTTATGAATACAATAATGGTTATTTATATCGTTATTATTGATTTTAATTATATCAAACTATAAGCTAAACATGGAATGACAATAAAATGGTACGACAAAATATAACATTAAAATTGTTTGGCAAACGGACTATGTAACGATTGTTGTATCCTTCTAAATTTTACGTGTGCATAAACTATTATTTTTCAACTCCTGCGTGTGTATATCACTGCTTTCTTCTAGTTCCTTCAAATTGTGTTTGAGTTTATCCCAACTAACTTCGTGTTCTTTCAAAAAAACTTTATAACTAAGTTTATACCAACAACATCTGAAGAACATTGATCCCGAAGTTCGAACTTATGGTTTAGAAAGCATGCTAAAAGTAAAAAGATCAAAAATAAAAATTTAAATAAATGACCTGACCAATCCAACTCGATAGTCATAGTTAATTGAGTTGAGTTAAGTTCAATATTTTATAAAGGTTACTTGAACCGAAAAAATATTCGAACAATTATGTTGGCTCTAAAAAAATGTCTTAGTCAGACTCAACCCAATCTATTAACACTCCCCGTTAGGCCACCAAATATTAAACGATCCTCTAATGTTTGTGGTTTGAAAATTTTGTTTTAATTGAATTTCTCGTGACACGTTCGGCTCCATCTACTTTATTGCCTCTATTATTGCCCATTTTCTCCACATCTTTTCTTACTAATTATCTCTATTTTCACACCCGGTTGGTTGAAGGATTTAAAAGTTATGTGTATCACTTGAATAAAGGAGGAGTATACAAATGAACCGAAGACTACCTCTGAATGAGTAAGAAAGACTTAAAAGAATTGAAAATTACTAATACAAAAAAATGCAACCTCATTTTCGTCAACGTGTTTTTCTTGAACAATTCTATGTTAAATGACTTTTTGATCTCTAGTGATCAGTGAGGATATTCTTTACTCTTAAAACCAAGAAGTAAGTAAAACGATCGTGTTGCAAGAGATGTAGGAGAATGTCAAGGTCATTAGTTACATTTGATTATTAAAATATAACAATATAATTAAGTCTTCAATTTCATTATTATACTAATTATTTACTATTAAACATTGAATATGAAATTTTATTAGTATTCTCGTGCAATTTCAAACACTTGTATAAAATATCAGTACTTTCTATTTTGTCTAACAATTTAAAAAATACTCATAAATTTTGTATTTTATCTCCAAAATACCTCTAAACTTTTCACAAATTACTCCTTAAAAAAAACCATAATTTTAAATAGTTTCATTAATACCTTTTAACTTTTTAAAAAAATGTTCAAAAATATGTTATCGTTAATACTATGTTTAAATTTTAAAATTAGTGTTAATACCTTTACTTTTATATTATATAAATTCTTATAATATCTCACAGATTATCTACCAACGTTTTAATGTTATTTTAAAAAATTTATGAAACATTATAAAAAATTTATGAATATTTTTTAAAAATACGGTAGATGTATTATTATTATTATTATTATTATTATTTTAATTGGAAGGTGTTTTTGAAGTTTCTAAAAAACAGTTTAAGAATATTAATGTAATTTTAAAAAAATTAAAGGTAAATATTTTTAATTTGCTTTCTTTACCCCTCCCACAAATTTATTTATTTTTATTTTACTAATCAATTTTATATTTAATAGTTAGGCAAATGTAGTAAATGCATATTATTTATTAAAAAAATTAAAGTAAATGATAAATAAATAAGAAACTATCATGCTGAAACCAAACAATAAATAATTTTTTTAATCTTTTCATAAAGTCTTTTTATTTTTTAATTTGTGAGACCATGGTAGACACACTCTTGAAATCAATTAATAAAACAATAAGCACTCGTTCCAGTTTAATTTTAAATTATACATAAAATATTTCAAATTTCAACCAAATATTTAATAACATATTGATTCTAATTTTTATTTTTTAATTTTTATTTTTTATATTTGAGCGACGGGAGTAGAGACAAGGATGGAAAATATAATCTCCGTCACTAGCCTCATTCAGTTAATATTAAAAAATCTCTCTTCATTCCCCGTTTTAGTGGATATTCACTACTTTATTTAGAAGGAGGCTCATGCGGGACACGGATTAAATAGACATTTTTATATCGAATTTTTTTTTTTTTTTTTTTTTTTTTTTTTTTTTTTTTTTTTTTTTTTTTTTTTTTTTTTTTTT